AGTACAATAATAAATACTTACGATGGTTTTGCATCAAATCACCATAAATTTATAATACATTTGAAACAGCGCATGATTTATCTTCAATTGAAGATTAAAGATAACAAGAAGGAAAAAAGTAAAAAACAAAAAGAGGATTATACCGCAGCTTGTCAAAAGCACATTTTATTTTTCAATACAGTGATGAAATCTTTCCACATCTTTCGATGCATGAGAGAATTGTAAAACGGCTATTTCGCGAACGATTCTTGCCCGCGAAGAAAATCGTTCGGCGAGGACGCCGGATGGGGAATTTCAGATACTCGACCAGCAGCAAGGTAACTCGCCTCTCTTGACAAAGGACCACGCTACAAGCAGCCTCGCGTAATCTCATTGGAAACGCGAAATCTCCTCGTCTTTTCTCCTTCTCTCGAGAGCCAGCTCGGAAATCGTATCGCGTAGAAAGTAATGCGTTCAACTGTGCACCGTGAGCGTCCTTTGAACGACAGTCTTGCAAGTGCATCGAAATGTTCGAATATTTAAATGGAAGCCGTATTTCTATAGAGGGAGGCCAGCATTTCCCCCCCTCCCAACCCGCCGAATAATTCCATTCCAGCTTCGAATACGTCCGAGTTACGCGAAAAATGATTATCGGTTTTACATATCGGTACGCGGACCAGATTTTCAAGTCGCGATACGTTCGATAAAATAATGAAATCAATATTCAACAATGGAACCACGAACAGCGCGATACATCAAACCGTGCGATCTGTCGGCGGGTTTTCAAAATATTATATTTTGCTCGCCCGACGTAAAAACGAAATGTCGTAATTAAACGCACGATTTTGTGAAAAAAACTACAGAATTTCAGACGTTACGACCGAGAGTTTGGTAATAACGTCGTCGATCATTCTCCTGCGTGACTTTGTTCTCCCACTTATTCCCGATATTCATAGTTTGAATGAACTATGAAATTTCTTGTTAGCATGCAGGATTCTTTTCATCAAGTTTCATCTTTCGAGGGCGAAACATTATTTTTTCTCTGCTGAACCGAGAATAAGAAATGAA